GTTCCTATTGTAGCTAGAAAAACTTATTTTTTAACATGTGGTCTTTTTTAGCATTTGTACTCCTCATTTTGTCATTGTATTACTTCTTTGAATAATATTAAGTAGTGTGCTTAGGTTCTCTTTAATATAAGCACAAATTCTCTTCATGACATCAAATCTTTGCCTATTTTGTGAGGAATTTAAAACATACTCTATCAATTTACATTAGTTCCAATTTTGATGAATAAGTTTTTGAAAACTTAAAAACTGGCATCATTACTTGACTTGTTCCTCTCCAACTAAGTCTTTATTTTTGATGTCTTTCAAGTAATCAATTATTTCATGCAATGGCTTAATCAATAAATTATTCTAAAGATTTTGTGTCTTATAGTGTCAATAACAAATCTTTGAAATTATCCTTCAATCCATATTGAAATTGATTGATAAGGGATTTTTCATTCTATTCCATGTTAGAAGCAATATTTTAGAATTTAGCAACATATATAGTGGTTGATTGTGATCTTTGTCATAAAGTTAAGAGCTTGGTCTGTGCTACTCTTTCTTAAATACTTTTTCTAAATGTAGCTATAAATACTTTAAAAGACTTACAAATCCTTTTCTATTAAAGCTAAAAACTAAGAAAAAATACTTTTAGATAGAAATGTATCTATGAACCAAACTTGAGTAAATCCATCAAGGTATTGGAAGAGATGTAAGCTTAAATAGAACTTGATTTATTGCAAAAATCTTCAAAATTTTGATTTCATTCTATCAAACTTATTTGACATACTAATCCATATCTCCATCATATATATAAAAATAAAACTTCTTAGATTTAGTTGTGAAGTTGATTTACTTGTTTCTTTCAACTACACAACTTCTTGTTATAGGTTATAAACTTCTTTTTATATACATAGGATTAATGTTTCTATAGTTGGTACTTGTGATGAGTAAAATTCCTATTCTAAGAGTATTAATAAGTTTGTAAAGATTTGAAATAGTTGCAAATCTATTCTCACTTCCACTAAGTATAGCATTTATAATTTTTCCTTCCATTTTAAACAACTTAACAAAGTTATAAATTAGATTAAAAGAAGATAGTCCACAACCTTCAATATCAAATAAAAACTTCTACAAAGAGAGATAATCCACTCTTTCTAAAGAAAAAAAATCTATGTTAGAAAATTAAATAGTTTATTTAAAGATAAATAATCCACAACCTTCAAAATACAACAATAGAAGTGAGATAATCTATTCTCTTTTAAAACAAGATAAGAACAAAAAGTTAGTATTCTTATCAAATTATTAATGACATAAATTTCAAAGTACTAAAATATCAATACACTCTTGTGTTACTTAAAAGGATTAAAAAATCACTGAAAGATGATATAATATTAAACTAGAATAGTTATTGCAAAAGACAAGAAAAATAGAAAGCCTTGAAATAAGACTAAGGACTAGAAAGGCATTAATAAAAGTGAAGAAGGCTTCACTCTTACCTCCATATATACTCTTAACTAGGAACTACATAGCAATATCTTACAGAACCTTCAAAACATGTCATATTTACAAGACACGTATCTTAAATGCTTATGTGAATGTTTGTAGATATAGGTCTAAGTTAATAAAGTCTTGAAGGATAATTCTTGAAAACTAAAAGGAGATGTTATTTTTCCAACTAAACTTCAAATCAACTTAGTTGCTTTCAAGGCTTGTAGTAAATACTTTATTGTATCTACAAAGCTTCATGAACTACATAAATCTAATTGTATTTTGATTGTCAAATTTTTTAGAAAAATGCTCATAATCTAGAAAGATACAAAGAGTTGGTTGCTTCAACAATGACAGCAACCATATCTAAGTTGTAGAGTGCTTGAATTATTGAAAAAGGTGTCACGTAAAAATTTAAGTAACATATTGTTGTATTGTGGTTCGGCTATTATGTGAAAATAATGCACATAAATATTTAATGTACAATTTACTATACAATGTGATAAGAACCACATTATTAGATTTAAATATGTCACAAAATATGGTTAGATTACTACTTTAAAGTGGTTAGTTTAAAAAGACTATTATTGAAGTTGATTTTATGTTGATAATAGTTTATATATTTAGATCCACCTTTATTAGACATTGGTGACTCTTGAAATCTTGTTTTGTTTCTTTTATTTGATGTTTAGGACATATATTATATAGATCTTATAAGAAAAAAATTGGAGATGAATTTTGGTAGCAAAAAGAGTAATTAGGGCATCTATATAGATGAGTAAAGATGGATGATAAAAATCTCCATTCTTATTGGCCAAAATTCATATCCAATGGACTTCAAGGAGGTTACGTGAGGCCTTATTAGGAATTAGAATTATTATTTTGATGTCATTTGAACCTAGGATGCTAAGATCAAAGATTTTAGATTTTTGGCTATGGTTTTGGTGCAAATTTTGAATGAATTAGAGTTTTTTTTGAAAGAGATATAGGCACTTCAAGGTAAGGTGTTGATTTTGTATCTACTGTCACTCTTTTGAACATAACACGTACATACAGAATGCAATGAAGAATTAGCGAGTAAAGTTGGAGAGAGAAATTTTTTGGCTACACTTTTTATATATTGCTTGATGAATTCTAAGCAAGGATGAAGGAGTAATATAAAGTTGAAGTCAGTACTTGCAATCTAAAGGGAGTAAGTGATTAGATTTACTAGTGGTTGTGTTTTGAGCTATATCTTAAGCAATTTGACAAGATTTTAGCTAAAAAATTCTTAGAATATTTATTATCATGTTAATAAACTTTATACACAAATTTTGTGGCATTCGGAGTTTAGGTTTATGAAATATGGAGAAAATAGTGTTTGGATGCTTGTAAATTAGGATTTAAAGCACCTGCTAGTATTTCTAAGATGCTAAACAATCTATAGTAGATTTATAATTCAATTTTTTTTTACAGTAAAGTTTAAGGGTAAATTCTATATTATCTAGAAATTCGAAAAAAAATAAACAATTGAATCAAGAAATATGAATTTCTAAAGTTTAGGAAGAAAAAATCCTTCGTGGGAGAAAAATATTTTGAAAGGATTTTTACTACAATTTGGGAATTTTTGGCAAAATAAAGGGTTTTTTGGGAGCCAAGTCTTTAAATATATATTAAAGATGGAGATACACAACAATGGCAAAATTATGATGTAAAGATGGATATTTATATGAAGATTATGGATTTTCTTTGAACTTATAGAAAATCAAACTTACTAGCAAATAATTAGTTATGATTTGGTATAGCAAAGGATGTTAGGGTATTTCTAAATGCTTTAGAAAGCCTTATGTATAAAGCTTATTAAATATAAAAGGGTTTTATCAATAGAATATCTTTTGATACTATTGTATTTTTTTGGCCTCTATAATAAGAATACATCACTTATTGGAACTAATCCAATAAGGAAAATGTAAACTCTCTACAGTTAGATACTCAGTGTATTTTCAAATAGAAAATCATGCCATACGACAATGTCGTTTGGGCCTCAATTTGACTTAGAATAGGATTGTGCTTATACCTCATCAAATTCAAGGGTAGATTTACAATTATCACAAAAGTGGGGTAGATTTGTAATTATCAAGGATACAAGGATATTCTTGATATTTCAACATACTTTAGGGGTGTATATAATAATTTTCCTATTTTTTATGGAGGTATAAATGTGAAGGGATTTCTATGCATTAAAAGGGAGGTTTCTACCTATTAGTTCTCTAAAAATAAAGCAAAAAAAATACCATAGGAAGTATATGATGAATAATAAATTGAAGGGGTAATAATAATATCAGCAATAAAGTTGCCAAATCAAACATTAAAATTAGAGAAAAAAAACTATTGAGGTTAGAAAAAGAAACATTGCAATTGAAGGTAGCATTAAAGTTGAAGAAGCATATTCAAATACACCAGACAAAAGACACATTTAATATTTAAGGTAAAATAAGAGGTACAATATGCAAACAATGTAATAAAATTGTTGGTGCATAGAATATTGGACAATTAGAATTAGAAAAATATGGACATCTATTAAAACATAAGATTTGTTAAGATTCAAAAGAAAATGAAAAAGAAAAATTTAAAAGAGAAATTTTTTCATAAGCCAAATAAATTTTCATTTAAAAGAAAATATTTTCTTAATAAATTTGATTGGACAAAGAAAAATCTAACATATGTGTTGACATTTTAATTTTTAAAGAATTTTTTTATTCATCACAATACATAAATATGTATGATTTTTTCATTTTATTATACTTATAAAAGTTTTTTTTTGACTCAATAAACTTCATATCTAAATAAATAATAAAAAATTAAAATAGTAAATTATTATATCTAAATTTGTATAATACATTAATAAAAATTAATAATTATATTAAATAAATAAATAAAATAGTATCTCTCTCAAGATAGAAATATATATATATATATATATATGAATAAGATGTATGTACCATGAAAATGAATAAAATAAAATTTAAATTCAGTTTTGAACTTTTTATTTCAAAAAAATATAACAAATTAAGCAAAGAATTCAAAAGATTTAAAAAAAAAAAAAAATCTGATAAATGTTTTTGGAATAAAATGAATGATGGAAACAATCAGAAAATCAAGGATACATTTTTTAGAAAAAGATATAGAGGGAAACTATCATATTTAAATCAGTTTATAAGAAATCAATACAAGAATCAAAATCAAATTAGTAATAACAAATCTTGAAATAAATTTATCAAAAAACCAACCAGCTTTAACAAAAATATTAGTAATAATACTTGACATTTATATCTTAGTATTTTATCAAAAATAATAGTAATAAGAATAATATAAAAAATACCAAAATTGCATTGATTTTAAATGGGAAATGGGTTTGTAAACTGGTCTAGTGTGTCGTTTCTGCAAATTGCATTGATTTTAAATGCTGTGACCGCCAGTACTTAAAACTATGTCGTCACAATACGACGACAGTGATTCAGAACATGAAAAACAGGGCAAATAGAGACGAATCAGCAGGAAAGCATTGTTTTTCTATTTTTCATTTACGGCGATATATACACACTGGTTCGTTGAGAAATGAGAACCAAAGATAGAGCTCACAAGCTCTATTCCTACCTATTCTCTAAGCCTCAACTGTTATATTCTCAAATCTCCAGGATTATCTAGTATAGTACACAATGAGAGACAAGAAATTTTTGTTTTAATGCTTTTTCTGTTATTTTTTCTGTTTTTTTTTTTTTTGTTTGTTTTTTTGTTTTTAATAAATCCCTTTCCTTCGTCGCAAGGAGATAAAAAATTTGCACTTCGTGCATAATGTCTGCAGCTGATAGCCATCAGTCTGCTGGAGACGATCCCTACGAGGAAGGCGCCCAATGCAGCCATGTCCCTAATCTCTACGGATCTATTCCAGCATAGACCTGTACAGAAACCTCAAAATACCTCACAAAACCACATACCACCAGTGTTTTGTTCGTCAGTTTGGCAAGCATGTATATGATACATCTTTCCGCAGGCCTGTGGTTATTTCCATCATTTATAACCTCTCGTCACGCCAACTCACCCCAGCTCCTAGAAGAAAGCAACCAGGCTCCACAGTGGTCGCTCAAATCGATAATAAAACTACTGCTAACGCACCCACTAGTACAGATCACCACCGACATCATCATCACCAAGTCTAAACTCGCCTACAGAAAAAAGTAGGTGCAGCTGAAAAATACAAATGCCGAGCGATGCACTTGCATCGAGTCGCTGCATGAGCCTACAAATAAATGAGTTTTTGGGAAGTGTCAGGCGCAATCTATACCCTCTTCACAATGAACTAAGCCTACATTTCTACAAGCTCCACTGCGGCTGAACCATTGGATCGTAATCGCAGGCTTGACCCACCTTCACAAACCTCCCCTTCACTCTTGTGCGAATGTCTGCTCGAGCCTTGCGAGATTCATACCGTATCTTTTTGCCGAACCTGTAGAGCCAGGGCACTAGTGTTAGATGTTGAACAAGTATGGCTTGTGAGGAAGCATATTAAAGAAAGGGACTAAAAGTGATGCTTGTGAGTGACAAGAGGAAGTCGAAGCACCTGCGTATCTTTTTCTTCTCCTTGTAGCGGAGCATAGCTGAATCTCGTGCTTGTGCAAATGTAACACTGTCTGGACTCCCAGACCCCAAGGAAGACTCTCCACTGGGGGTGAGAAGCACGGGTGATAAATCGCACTCAACGTAGTCGCTGCTGTCCCCACTCACGGCCGAAGCTGTCCAAGACAATCCTGAATTCTCTTGACTGGTGGTGAACTGGACGTTCATGGTGCTCATATCCATGTCATCCAGAGCCTTTCCACTTAATCGAAGGGCAGCTTCATTTTCGGCTGAGTGTCGACCAAGCCCTAACTTGTCTAATTGAGCCTGAAAGTTGAACTGATCATTACTCTGCAAAGCACGACAAAACCCAGATAAATACAACCATCATAGCTTCCAGGCAAGTTGTTGCAAGTCAACAACACATGAGAAACTTGAGAGCATTTGTCAATGATGGAATCTTACAGCGAGAGACCTAAAGAGCTCTGATTCAGGAATGCTTTGCATGTGAGATTCACGTCCTGCGTCTGCTTCCATTGAAGTACAGGCGGAAAAAGTTGCTGCATTAGGGGCCTGGCTGCTAGCAAATATATCCTCGTAGTTTTCGAAAGACAAATTCACATCGGGCACATTAAACCCAGAGCATAAATCGCGCTCCTCTTCCTCACACATTCCTAGGTCTTGCATGTTCTGACCCCACAACTGGTCACAACACCTCAATGTCAGTTAAAAAAGCAAGGAAGTATGCAACATAAATGAAGTGTGAAGCTCTCGCAATGAAAAGAGTCATAAGCTTTGCACTCATCGAAAAAAGGCCGGATACATGAAACAAATACCGAAGCTCATGCACTTCAGGGTGAAATTTAAGGGGTAAAAACCTGATTAGCTTGACTGATGGAGTTGTTGCGCCAGAATCCATCCGTGCCTCGCTGGTAGCCATCGGCTTCAACCTCCACTTTGGCTACTCGACCTTGTACTAAACCTGCTTCCGGATTGTATGCCACGGAGCGAGAATTTTGAACAAGTTCCTGGTCCACGTGTCGTTGAGCAGGAACTGCGTAGTTGTTGAGCGGCTCTTGTTTCTCGAGAACGTTTGTCGAAGAATGCGGTTTACGAGGTGCGATGAGGTTTTCTGATTTGATAATTCGAACTGGATCCTGAGCTTGCAGTTTCTCTAACTGTTGAAACACTTCTCTCTCATGTCCCAGCTCTTTCGCAGTGCTTACGGAAACCATTTTCTGCAATAAATAAATCCAGACCAGAATCAGTTATACAAACAACACGCGTGTTGAAATGAATTGGAACCTACGCAGCACCAAAGGTGACGACGTGAATAAGGGTCGAATAAGATTATGCAAAGAGGAGACACCTTCAGGATTCGGGGAGGGCCCGGGCCAGACATATAGGCACCAACATTGAAGTTATCACCCGTTCTCTGAGCGGTGCAACTCTCTCTCACATCCACAGGGGCAATTGGGTTAAGTGCCACAGCTCCGATCCGCGGCTCCCATGAGTTCCACTGCATGCTTTTCTTAAAAGGTGACGATGCTAACACAGCTCCACCACGCTTCCGGACATCGTTGGCTTGAGATGCCCAAAGCATAGCAAGTTCGGTTGCAGTAGGGCAGCCAGTGAAGCATTCAAAACTGCGCCGCTGATGTTGATCAGTACCCAAGATGGGATTATGTATCTCGTCATCACAGGTTTCACACAGAGACGAGTGGCAAGATGGGCAGCGCACTGCCGCGGGACGAACATTGCAGGAATGACAGAGCAAAGTGCGGGAGTGCCGCTGCGCAAGCGCATTTGCACCGTGAACTTGCCGATCGCATGTAAGACATAGTCGAGCCGAGTCAGCTCGGCAGTATACAGTCGCACGTCCCTCGCCGCAAAATTCACAAGCTGCTTGCATCTTGAAAAAAGTGCAGCTTCAACTTCCACTTTAACTTCAACGTCAGCCTGAAACTTTATCAGAAACTTCTTCGGGTATTCACTTCCCTAGCAATCCCATGCCAAGTTCCGAAGATAACTTCCACGCCTCTCCGTCCAAGTCCTCTCTATTCTATTGCACTTCAAAAGCACCGCTTTGATTATTAAGTCCTGAAGTTCTTCAAATCTTGACCCCAGCCTCTTGCAAGAAGCAGCTCTGTATGCTGATACTCCTACACTTCCGTTTCACCTCAATTCAAGGATTGACACAAAAATAAAATTCCAATAACATCCTCCGCGACAAAACTTGATCCACGAAGATTCTTTAAGAAGCAGCTCCACTTGCCACCAAACCCCTCAAAGAAACAGAAATAAAAGAAAATGTCAGTTTCTAAACAAACGAGGAACCGATTTCGGCTTGAGATTCCCACACACACACCCGAGACTCACGATAAATGTATATCTTCGATTGCACGCAAAGTCATCCTTAACACTCAATATCGATGAGACAAGTATACGGTATATCTACACAAGTGACTCCGAATTCCCGATGCCCGGGGGAACTCATGGGAGATGAAATTGACTAGTACACAGTAAACTCACGTCTATCACATTACAAAACACGAAAGAATTACGCAAGACACTTTCAAAACACCAAGTCACCAATACATATCCATTCAAACCGCAGAAAAACTGACCTTTCAGGTTGCTTACTGCGAAAAACAGCTTGCAGCAGTCTTGTGCGCCTCCTCTATAACAGCGCAACAATGCCAGTAGCTGTGCGAGCTAGCTGCAAATATCCTGCTCTTCAGTTGCACAGCAAAGCCTAAATCTCCAAACCAACCTCCGGCTCCACAATATCACAAACTCTTACTCCAACCCAATTCTCCAACCGACCTCCACTGCACTCAATAAAATCCTTCAACAGTTCACTCTCATCTCCGCTAAAACACGCTATCCCGCTCCACAATTAAACTACCAACTCAATCGACTCAACCTGGGCCGCCCTTCAAACTGCAGTCGAACAAGAGATCACAACTCAAATCAATGAAATCGCAAACGAAACCAGTTGCGACTGGATACGAAAAAAATCAGACGGCGAAGGCGATTGCTCACCGGAATATCGACAATATCGAGCGAAGCTGCGCACTGCAAAGAAGGAAAAAAAACAAAAAAACACCAAAAGGAGGAGGTGGAGAGGAGGGGAGATGATGAGATAACAAAAAGTGTCGAGTCATAAAACGGCAGCTCAACAGAGGAAAGCGGGAGGGAGGAGTTGTACACAGAATCAAACGGGGTGGAAACTAAGCACCAATCCAGGATTTTGCCATTTGCGAACTCTCTACTCCTCTTTGTGCGTCGTCGTCCGTCGCCAACAGTAAATTCCTGCAAGTGCCAGATGGCGTAAAGCGCAATTGCCGAAAGTGAGGATTTCACACATGCGCTGAGCGCCGGTTGGTTACGTGCAGGACTGCGGCGTCAAAATATCTCACACCCTCTCTCGCTTTGTGGGTGGCCCCCACCTTCATCGCCGACCTTCCTCCCTCCCTTCCTCGCCATCGCCACAGCCGCATCCCTCCACGACGACGACGAAGATGACGAGGGAGCGGGTATCAGCTAAACCATTCCAAATACCCGCCCTTCACGACCACGACCTCGACGATAGAGAGGATATCAACGTAAGCCCCACATGCCTTCCGTTCACGACGTAACCGGGTATCAATGCAGTCTTATTGCTCGAAGGTAATTGGAAGCAGCTGTTGTGGCGATTTGGCTTTGGTGAAGTGGCTCTACGTTCTTTGAATGTTCTATGTACACAGTAAACTCACGTTCTTGTATGCTCTATATATTTCTTATATAAAATAGCTTAGGGTCCCACGTTCTTGAATGTTCATTGACATGCAAGTCTGCATGTCAATGATATATAGAGTGATGATGGATAGAGTGATGATGGATAGAGTGATGATGGATGAATAAATGGATGTGTTTGATCTGTTGGTAATGTATACATCTATTATCATGAATGTGGGTGGGGGTACAGTTGCAAGGGGGGTTCGTTCACACCGCCCGTTTAGAGAGGGGTTTTTTTATTTTGACGGGGATGTGTGTTGCTGAGGTGGCAGATGGCCAAAAGGGGAAATAAAGAAATATATATATATATATATATATATACCTCTCTATATATCTAAATATATAAGTAGCAGTTCCATGTATAGGTGGGTTGCTGTTGTCTGCATCATTTGGATGCTTTTCTTTCCTTCTTATGAGATAAGGTCTTTGAAGTGTTGTCATTTCCCCTTTTCCTTTCATCTGAGATTTTTTCATGTTTTTTCATGTTTTTTAATTTTTTTTAATTTTTTTTAATTTTTTTCATTTAATTTTATGATGTTTCTTTTGGACTTGTGTTTTTTGTACCATTTTATTGAATAGGATTTCAAAATTAAAGATCATTATATATATTTCTTATATAAAATAGCTTAGGGGGACAAATACATGGGATAAACAAGAGGAGATAAATGACTTTATGATTTGCTAAATGCATCATTGTTTTTATCAAAAGGTTTCACCAAAAGTGAACCAAAAATTAAATTCACTCTTAACTTTATTTAAGTTAAACAACAATCAGGGGGCAATTCTCTTCATTAATTTGTAACTTTCTTTGAATTAGCATCGATGTATCAATTCTCTCAATGAAACTTGGCACGTTTAAACTATCCTTTCAAGTACATAATCAAATGTTACATTCACAATGCTACATATCATCTTTTAGTTGAACAAGAAGCATGATTCTTTAGAGAGGGCCTTTGAGTATGTGGTAGAAAGAAACAAGAAGTTGACTTGACCTTCTTCAACATTGAAAAGTAGAATAAAATGTTTTGTGATCACTGAGATTTCCAATGGCACTTGCATCTTGTACTATTAAAGAAAGAGACTCTAGTTCAAAGCTAAAAATCCACATTTTAAGAGATACATTCATATGATTTTTTAATCAAATAATATATATTAAAAAAGTTATTATTGTTGTTTCTTCAAAGTGTGTCACATAAATATTGGTTATATATATAACAATATTTTTTATGTCAACATAGATTGTTTGTAGTACAAAGTACCATAATATTTTGGTTTATAAACTATATCCACTTCAGGTGTATATATGGCTTCGGCTTTTAGAATGATGTTTTGATGAACTAAATCATTATTATTCTCTTTTGCCATTTTTTTTTTTTTTCACATGCTTATATAACTTAAGAGTATTAAATACTTTTCATATTATTGTATTTGATTTAAAAGCTAAAGAGTCCTTTCGTGGATTGAACAACTTTAGTTTGAAATAAGGCGTGATGAGGTTTGAAGATCATTAGTTATGTCTTCAAAGAATCCATTAAATATTTTGAATTGAGGCTTTTGTAATAGTTCTATTTTGCAGTGTAGGCAAAATCAATTATAAAGTGTATTTATTCAAGAATCCTTTTGAGTGTGTAGTTAGATGTTTTATCATATTTTATCAAGAACATGAATCTCAAAAGAAGAAAATCCTCAATACACTCTTGTGTCACAGAAAGGAACTAAGAAGTCACTCAAAGTTGATAAAATATTGAATTATAATGGCCATTGCCAAAAACAAGAAGACTAGAAAGTCTTGAAACAAGACTAAGGACTAGAAAGGCATTGATAAGAATAAAGAAGGCTTCACTCTTGCTTCCATATATACTCTCTAACTAAGAATTACGTGACAATATTCTATAGGATCTCGCACATGTGTTGACTTTGCTAACCACATGTCTTAACTTGCATGATAAGTTATCTATATATGTACCACATAGATAACTTATTTCACAAGCTATTATATCAAATAAACTTGTTCCACAAGATATTATGTGGAATAAACTTGTGTCTAAGACTTCTTCCATCTCAAATTCTTGATTATTATCTACTTCTATAAGAGGAGGTGGCATTTGTCTTCTTCCCAAGATATTCACTCTCTTAAATGACTCACGAAGAGATATAAGAAATACACGGTGGAACTTCATAGACTCCAATAGATGTAATCAATAAGTAATAGGATTAATTTGTTTACAAATAGAAAAAGGTCTCAACCTACAATGTTGTACTATAGTTGCTTATAGTATATAAAAAAATAATTAAAACATATATTATATTTGTAAGTCTTGATGTAAATTAGAATGGTTAATAAATAAATTTAAAGAGATTTGATATAAGAAAATTTATTTGTAAGTTTATCTATTTTGATTATAATGTTTAAGTTATGTAGGATTTAGATATTTAGTATAGAGCTTAATAGAAGGTTGGAGTCTAAAGATGAGAGTCTAAACTATTAATGGGCTTATATCATGGACATATATTAACTATAATTATTACCTAGGTAGTATGAATAGGTAGAAGTAGGTAAAAATAAATTAATTTCATAATATCTTCTAGAGTAGCTTTTTAGAAGCTTCATAGATGCTGCTTTGACTTTACATGTATTTATACTTAATTGATAGGTTAGAAACTTGGTCAATAAGTTAACCACGTGCCATACATATTGGTAGCTTGCGAAACAAGCTAACTATGTGGCGTCTACATAGAAAACTTGCCTTGCAAGTTAAGATACATGTTGTGCAAAGTCAACACGTTTTTGGAGGTCCTATAGAATGTCACCACATAGCTTCTAGGTAGATAGTATATATAGAGGCAAGAGTGAAGCCTTCTTCACTCTTGTCAACTCCTTTCTTGCTTTTAATCTAGTTTCAAGGGTCTCTAGTTTTCTTATCTTTTGGTAATAGCCGTTTCAGTTTCTTTCTTAATATATATATTTAGTTATTTCTATTTTGTCATCATTCTTTGAAAAAAGTCTCACTTATTTATTTATTTTTATCAAGTTCTTGTCCATGATAGCTTATTGGAGAGGATGAAAGTAAGGTATGTTTGGATGAAGGCAAGGGGTGAAGATCTTCATCCTTATTAGTCGAATGTCATACCCAATGGGCTTCAAGGATGCTATTTGAGGCCTTATTAGAAGGCTTTTTTGGTGGAGTTTTGATCCATGTATGGAGAACGTTTTGATGCAATTCGTGTTGCAACCAAGAAGATCTATATTTTACGACAAGGTAATCAATTAATAAAGTTGTATGCTTTACAATTTCAACAACTTATAATTGATATCAAGTGGAATGATACAGCACTTGTTAGCCAATTTTTCTACAGATTACAAGGTAAATATAAGGTAAAAAATTTAATGGTCAATTTACTTGATCCTCAAACATTGAGTGAAGCAATTGACTTTGCTATAAAGTACATCAATCATCTTTTTGAATTTTGATCTAAGAAATGTACAAGTGGACCTAAACGTTACTATAATTTCTTCATCTAAGAAACATTACTAAAAGACATCCTTCATATAGAAGTAGCAACTAATAGTCATAGTAGCTTTGTAATATTTAATATCATTAAATATCCCTTTAATCTAGTCATTTTAAATTCATCATGGCTAATAAAATATAATCCTAAAATAGATTGGACTTCTTGTAGTCTTGACTTTTCTGAAAGTATAACTAAGAACGTAGTTAATCAAGTAGAAAGTCAAAAGTCTAATACAATTAAATTTTTATTTGTAGGTGTAAGAGCTTCTTTGCATGCTGCAAAAAAAGGATCACTTCATGCCATTTATGTTACATATATTTCTACTAGTGGAAAGACTTCAAGTCGCATTTCAATCGAATATCAAGATTTTCAAGATATATTTAAGAAGAAGAATGCAAATACTCTTCCAAAACATCGTTCCTATGACTGCTGAATTGACCTTCAAGAAGGAGCACAACTGCCATTTGAGCCAATCTACAGTTTATCACAAAATGAGCTGGCTGAACTCAAAGAATATAATAAAGTGAATATAGCCAAGAACTTCATACGCCTTCCAAATCTCCAGCAAGAACTTCAGCTTTATTTGTAAAAGAAACAGATTGATCATTACAAATAAATGTTGATTATCGAGGACTCAATGAAATCACCATCAAGAATAGGTACCTGCTACCTTTGATATCAGAACTCCTTGTTTGGTTGAATCAAGCTAAGATCTCCATAAAAATAGATCTACAAGGAGCATACAATTTGGTACACATTAAAGAAGGAGATGAATAGAAGACTGCATTCTGAATCAGATATGGATATTTTGAATACAACGTCATGCCTTTTGGACTTACAAATGTACCAACACTATTTCAACATCTAATGAATGATGTTTTTTGAGATTTTTTAGATGATTTTGTTATCTGTTACCTAGATGATATCATAATCTATTCTAAAAACACGGAAGAACATAAACTTCATGTT